GAAAAGTCAGGGAAGTTCATTCATACAACGATCCCGCCAAAAAAAGCGATTTTGCGCCGACGTCGGAAGAGGTAACTTTTTTCGGCGAATTATGTATCACGTGAGTGTCATTCGGGAACTGGCATAGAGCCAATTTTCCAATTTTCGCAGCTCCAATTTGATTGTCTTTTAGAAAGGCAAAGCAACTTTTCCCGCAACTTTTGGTTTCCAGTATTCTCGAGAATCGCATGTGCAGTGCATGAACTAAAGAAAGTACCTTCTTTCCTCGTAAAACAAAATGGGTTTTTAATCCTAGTATACGGTACTATGGAGGTTAGAATCAAAGAATATGTATTGTAAAGAAGGAAAACCTCTCTGCAACAGACGTGGCTGTGGCTCCGTTCCATCATAGAGGGAACAGCTGTGCATGTCTGATATATCTGTCACCAAAGCTCGAAAACCGGTGTCGAAGTTCGAAGGTCACGTTATCAAGAGTTCATAAAATGAATATCGTTTAATTAAAATTTCTTTAACCACTTGCGCTAAAAAACGTGCCACCACGCACGTCAAGATGCTTTTGTCTCAAACCCCGCGATAAGCATTATCGCAAAAATGAAAATAACGTGGTGCACATGTCGCCTAACAACGAGATTGTTTTATTTCTCGAGTTACAGCTCTGGATTGCAGTCGCAGATGCCGGAGCGGCGTAAATGAGACACTTTACCCGCTTGTTATATTGTAGCGCACGGCACCCCCGCAACCGTGAAGTTTAGTCTTAGCGCAAGTGGTTTAAACTCTAAAAGAAAAAGAAATATTTTTTTGGTGCAAGTAAATTAATTCATGGATTAGTTATTTTCAGAGGGGGGGGAAAAAACTACGAAAATCCGTTTTTAAAATTATTGCGAAAAATCCAAGAAGAAACGTCCTTTGATGAAACGTTTCTTCTTGGATTTTTCGCAATAATTTAAAAACGGATTTTCGTAGTTTTCTTTTTGTCAAAGAGCGTTTCTTCTAACACGTGTTTCTCAATTTCCTGTACACATCGCGGGAAGGGAAATTCTGGAAATTCTGGCCGCCAGGTTCCGTCGCCAAAATCCCTTGGCAAATTTTTCCCTCCGCATTTCTAGCGGCGTAATAGCATTTTACTTGTATGGAACCTTTTTTCTTCTTTACATAGACGTTCTTTGGTTAGAATAACAATGGGATTTGGCGACATCTTGATTGATGCGCAGTAAACGGGTCATTTTGGTCTTGGCGACAATTTTTAAAATCGTGCCAAAGCCTTACCGTATACTAGAATTTTACCAATTTTACCGCAAAATCTTTTCAAAATTTTTTAAACCTTTTTTTTTTCTATTTAATAAATACCTTGCCATTTTGCAGTAAAATAAAAAAAAATAGTAATCAGTCATCTAGGCTAGCCATGTAATATAACTATATTCGCTAAAATATCGTTGATTATTCTAATTCAATTTTTAAGTAATTATTTTTTATTTTTTATGTTATTCAGAATATTTAATGTTGCTTCTTCCCTCTAAATTTATTTATTATTAGTAAATAATATTTCCAAATTTCAGGAAAATTTTCTCTGGCATAATCCTGAAATTAACTATAGCAGTATATGATGACATACCATCACGAAATTTAATGGGCATATTTTTTCCTTATGTATGCTGCGAAATAAATATAAAATACCTCAATTTATTAAAATAGATTTCTTTCTTTCGCTTAGCTGCAGAATGTCTGCAAAAAAAGCCTTATTTTATTCCAGATTGGAAAGATTCTAATCTCAATCTTCAGTGGAGAAAACAACAACTATTATAATTATATTTGTGTTTTCAAGTGTTAAGGTTTTAAGAACATACCTCACACAAATTAAATTTACCTAAAATCTAACCTAACTATTTAGCATTGCGTTGTGATTTATAAGGAACCGGATTAGCCTCGTGTTGAACTGGTGATGATCATGAGTAATAATAAATAAATAAAACATACATTTGTTATCCAATATATATATCTTAAATTTTATTAAGTTTCTTAAGTGGAAAACTAAAACAAAATTATCAAACAAAGTATACCAACCAAGAATAATTAAGATAATAAATGTCCTCTGGGATTTATTGAATAATTAAGTGAATTTGCTACACAACACAATACAAGTAATACCATAATTAATTTACCTCTTAGCACAGCCAACGTACATTACGCGGATAGACTGGAATTTTCTTGAAACACACCTGGAAAACCTGGAAAAGTCAGGGAATTTCATTCTCCTGTTTGAGTGGCAACCCTGTAAGGAACAACGCAATCTGCAGCATAAACTGAATTAAAAAATTTTAGCTTAGGGTATACCACCCGTTATACATTAAATGTGCACCCGTAAACGTATTATGCACACATGTAAATGCCTATGCGCATGCGTGAACGCGACACATGAACAGAAAGTTTATAGCTTTGAGGTCCGAATTAACGACTTTTGACTGTATTAAAAAAAAATCATATTTCTCTTTTAAATTTTCAGTAATCTAATTATAAAATTATGTTTCACATGGGTTCTCCAGTTTTACTGTTCAGCAATCCTAATTTGATTTCATTCTTTTCTGGATTGTGACTATTTAGCATAGTTATATAAATCACGTGAAATAAAATAATACAGTCAAAAGTCGTTAATCCGGACTCGTCGGGACTTCGGCGATTCCGGATTGTCGATTTTTCCGGATTATAGATCATCAGTTCAAATTTCGTAAGATGGCATGCAGAAATTCTAAAATTAAAAATATGAAATCGTAATTTATGAAATAAAGAACAACTATGATCTTAAGAGTATCAAAATTACAAAAATTACAAAAAAAAAAAAAAAAAAAAAAAAAAAAAAAAAAAAAAGCAAGCTTAATATTTATTTACTTTATTAAACATTTCTTTCAATGTAAGTGTTTAAGTTGCTTCGTTTTATGTGATAATACTTTCTCTTTAATTTTAATTCTATAAACAGACATAATTCCTTGTTCAGTTACAAAGTTCTGCTGTGTTCAAGTCCCGTTAATTGCTGTGCCGAGAACACCCGACTAACTTGTCAATCGAAATTTTCGTTTTTCGTTTTCACTACCTCTCTGTCACATTCTTCATGTCTTATATCCATTTTTTGCAGCAATTCCACTTTTTGTTTGTTGGACATCGAAACATACTTTCATTTTGTAGATTTTTTGGAAGTTCCAGCATCGGAAATTCTATTTGACATAATCGACAGTTCAAGTTTACTTTTATAAAATTGCTCTTACAGTCTTCAAAAAATAATAAGCGCGATCCAATTTGAAGATTAAGGAACAACGCAATCATTAACATTAACTGAAATAGATAATTAGATAATTTTAGCTTACACCGTCTGTTATACATTAAACGCGCAGGCGAAAACGTATTCTGCACTGGCGCTCACGCATATGCGCAGTAGTCAAGGTCTTACGCGCACGTTTTTTAATGGGAAGAATTTTTCCCAAATTCTATTTATTGGAAGCCTTTTGTTATTATAAATGAAAAAAAAAGTAACTGTGTTGTGTAATTGCAATAACTGCATTTTCTTCATCATTGATACACATTTATTGAATTAGCATACATGCAGCAGGTAGCCACGCTACATGGAAAATGTCAGGGAATTTCATATGGCATGGCAATCCCCCCCCCTCGCCGCCGATAAAAGAGGGGTTTGCGCCAACGTTGGAAGTGATCACTTTCTTGCAGAATTATGTATTGATTGAGCTTCATTGAGGCAGCTCGCATAGAGCCAAATTTTAGCAGGTCCAATCAGATTATCTTTTAGAAAGGCAAAGCAAGTTCCCAGTAACCTCGAGAATCTAGAGACTTGCATGTGCAGTGCATGTTGAACTAAAGAAAATATCTTCCCATTCTCATATAAAACAAAATGTATTTAATCCTAGTACAGGGTACCATGGAGGTTAGAATAGCCTCCATGAACGATACACACGCGATTTGGCGACAATTTTCAAAATTGTACCAAGGCGGTAGCGTATACTAGGATTTAACTGCAAAATCCTCTCTCTCCCTTCCCCCTCTTCTTCTTCTCTCCCCCCCTTTTTATTATTATTATTATAAATAAATGCCTTATTTGTCATTTTGCAGTAATTTTTTTTTTTTTTTTTTTTTTTTTTTTTTTTTTTTTTTTTTTTTTTTTTTTTTTTTTTTTTTTTTTTTTTTTTTTTTTTTTTTTTTAAGAAAAAAGTCAGTCATCTAGGCTAACCATTTAATAAAATTATATTTGTCAAAATTTCATTGATTATTGTAATTCAATTTTTAAGTAATAAACTTTATTTTAATGTTATTCGTATCATTTAATGTTGCTTCTTCCCTCTAAATTTAGTTATTATTATTATTAATTGTTATTATTATCTAAATTTAGTTGTTAGTATTAGTTAATAATACTTTCATATTTTAGGCAATTTTCTCTGACGTAATCTTGAAACGAATTCTAGCAGTATGATAACATACTATCATGAAATTTAATGCACAAACTTTTTGCTTATCTATGCTGCTACATAAATATGAAATACCTGAATTTATTTTTTAAATTTTTTATATGGGTTTCTTTCTTTCGTTTAGCTGCAAAATGTCGAGGGGGGAGACATTTTTTAATCCAGATTGGGCAGATTCTAATCTCAGTTTTCAGTGGAGAAAACAACTCCTATTATAGTTATAATAGTAATGCTTTGGGGATTCTATATTATATAAAAAAAATTTAGTAAGGAAGTAATAATAAATACAGTAGCAATTAAAAAGTTTTCATTTCAATTAATTCTTATAACCATGAGTTATTAGACAGATGTGAAAAGCAGTTCTGTCTGCTCTTTGAAAAGTACTTGTGCTTGAACTCACTTCTAGTTTATTACTGCTTTCCACCCTGTCATGTCATTACATGTAATCTGTTGATTGCAATTAATCTGATTAAATTTTAATTGGAATAAATTATTTAGAAATTACTATTTACCTTATTTTTTTAATCTTTATTGTAGCACAAAATGTTGTAGCATTTAGTCCTCGTTTGACACGAGGGCGTAAGAGATTGTTTAATCCTGAAACAGCTCCTTCATCTTTTGCTTCACAAAGTAAGTTTTTTTATTATCTTTTACCTATTAATAGGTAATTTAAGAAATGACAAATTATCAGATAAGTTCTATTTATATAAAGCAGAAGTTTTAAATATAGTTTTTTGTAGAAGAATATGTTCTTAACCCATTAGCCGCTGGTGTTGTGTTGACGCAACAATCAAAATAAATGCATATATAAATATAACTACCTAAGATACGAGGGCCATCCAGGAAGTAGATTACGTTTCCGTCTGTGTCCGCTAGGGGCGGGGCTAGCGCGGCCATCTTGGGGTCAGAGCGTTGCGCAGCTCAGTCTGCATCTAGCCGTGCTAGTGAGAGGTTCGTGCTGTGCTCCGTTCAGATACTCTGACGGTTTGAAATGTCTGCGTTAATTGAAAATCCCGCGAGCTGCGAGGTGCGCTCAGTAATAAGGTTTCTGACTGCAAAAAACTGTAAACCGATAGAAATCTATCGGCAGCTTGCTTCGTGAAGTGTATGGGGACAACATTATCACTGAAGGTGGAGTGCGTCAGTGGGTCATAAGATTTCAAAATGGCCGAACCAATGTTCACGACGAAGATCGAAGTGGGAGACCCAGCATAGTGACCGCCGAACTTCTCGAAAAAGTCGATGCTAAAGTCCGTGAAAATCGAAATTTCACAATAACGGAACTTTCTTTGAGTTTTCCACAAATTTCGCGAAGTTTGTTGCACGAAATCATCAGCGAAAAGCTTGGTTACCACAAGTTTTGTGCAAGATGGATTCCAAAAATCTTGACAGAGGACCACAAAAATCAGCGAATGGCTGCAGCGTTGAACTTTTTGGACGCTTACCATAAGGATGGTGACTCTTTACTCGATCGCATCGTTACTGGTGACGAAACATGTGAACTGTGAAACGAAATTGCAATCAATGCAGTGGGGGCACACAAGTTCTCCCCCCAAAACCCAAGAAATGCATGCAAACAATGTCGGCAAGGAAGATGATGGCGACTGTTTTTTGGGACAGAAAAGGTGTAATTTTGGTGGACTTCCTGGAAAGAGGCACTACAATAAACTCTCAAAGGTATTGCCAAACTCTCCAAAAACTCAGAAGAGCAATTCAAAACAAGCGCAGAGGAATGTTGAGCTCTAAGATCTTGTTGATTAACGACAACGCCCGGCCCCACACGGCAGATGTCACTCGTAAAGTTCTTGAATCTTTTAAGTGGGAGTTGTTTCCTCATCCGCCGTACAGTCCCGACCTGGCACCGAACGACCTATTCCCAGCAATGAAGAAGTGGCTGGCTATGCATCGTTTTGATGACGACGCACAGCTGCAAGAAGAGGTAACGAAGTGGTTGAAGGCGCAGGCGGCCGAATTTTTCGACGAAGGAATTTCCAAGCTCGTACATCGCTACGATAAATGCCTTATATTGTATGGTGACTATGTAGAAAAGTAGTATTTGAGTGTGGCTTTCATCTGTATATAATAAAATTTGTTTCCTATACTTTGTTTATTTTTTTATTCCAAAACGTAATCTACTTTCTGGATAGCCCTCGTATTAAATATTTTACACTTATAATAACTGGACAGATTTGAAAGAAGATAAGTGACATTTTAGTTACATTTTATTAACAGTTAGAATTTTTTTTTTTTTTTTTTTTTTTTTTTTAGTCTCATTTTGTCACATACTTGCACAGCCTAGAGGTTTAGTAAATAGTAAGTAGATTTTATGTGAAGCAGCATAGGTTAAAATGAGCATTAAAATCATAATCAGTATGATAACAAAAGACTGGCTGTTGTCACCACTCCTGCTTGCCTATAGAGAAAAAACCTGTTGATCAGAAAAACAAACTTGAAAGGCCTGATGTAGGCACAAGTAAGCAAGTTTTGAAAGTTAGCTGACCTCTGTCTGACGCTGTTAGTGTCGTAGCTTTGTGTAGAGTTCCAGGGGTTGTAACTCAGTTCATATACTTTAAGGTTAAGCCACTAAAGCATTAGCAGTGATAAGTTGTTTTGCATTAAGTCTCACTAGATGCAAAGAATAAGTTTCAGATAAATTTTTATATTTTTGTGTTTTACCTTGTGACCACAGTAAAGGTTAACACGTTGAGCCCAATGCCGAATTTGCTGTCCTTTCCGTTCAGCCAGCAGCGAGCAATCAAGCGGTGCAATATTGCCGACTTAAATTATTCATAAATTATACCAAAAAGAAGGAGACGCACATAAAGTCCGAAAGTATTGCTCGAAATGTTATGGTGACAATTCGAAACTATTTGGATGCAAAATAGCCAAAAATGTTACCAAAATAATTGTTTCAGATTGTAATATGTGCAAAGCTAAGCCGTATTTTTGTTTAGGATGTTTCAATAAATTTCATTAAAACTACATTTGATCACATGTCATTGAGACTATACTTATTCTTTAACTTTAATACTGCGGTCCCGCAGACCGGCGCCATCCAAACGAAAATTCCAGTGCCAGTCCCCAGGGACCGACGCCGGGCTCAACGTGTTAATGAAAGGCAATAACTTGCTTTAATATAGAGAGATAATTTTTAAGGGAATGCATTTAATTATAATTAAATTAGGTATTAGATAACCTTAGTCATTATGGATTTGCATGGCCACTATTAAATTAAATTTATTTTTAAATAATATTTGATAAAAACTCTATTAATATCACAATCTCAATCTCAAAAAATTTCACAGTTTAAAATACATGCAATTTATGACATTGATTTTTAAACAATATTAGGATAATTACACATTAAAAGCTACAAGACATAAAACTAACATAAAACTCAACAAAATAATTATGCGTCTTTTTAATTTGAAGGCCTGCCCAGACATTTTGGCTAATTTAATATTTAATCGATTTTCGATTTTCTTCTCCTTAAGCATGTTTTCTAACAATTAGAAATTTATCTCAATATTCAAAACAATGTTTCTCATTCATTTCTGCATGTTTTTATCTCCTGTCAACCTCTCCACAATGTACTACTACCTATGAGGGTTTACTTTCTCTGGGAAAAGTTAAATAGTCCGACCTCCCCTCCCCCCAGACAGACGTGAAATGCATTTAGAATGTATGGAAAAAGCTGCTAATTTTCTTTCTTTAGTAATACGAACATTCAGAAGAAATATGAAATACATATGGTAAGGTCTGGTCATAGAGCTGGTATAGCATAATTTTTAGAATTTAGGGACACACTGAGCAAAAAAAATCTAGAAATGGCAAAACTTTTAGAATTTAGAGCAGGCATTGAAAGCAGAATTTAGAAAGTCATCAGAATTTAGGATTCACAGAGACTGCATCAGGTGGCAAAATGCCTAACGCCAGCTCTGTGTATGATGCATTAAGACATATTAGATGAATCCTTTGAATTGTCAGTTTTCAATTTCTTTATTAATAAAAAATGTATTTCTATAATGCCTGTCCATATGATAAGATTAGAAGTACTTTTGATATTTTCCATGCTTGTATCTAGTGAAAAGTAGAGAAAATAAAGGGAAGATAAAAATGTTAAGAAAGCGATTCTAGAATCGGAAGTTAAACATTCAACTATTATGTTTTCATTGTTATTCCAGATGTTCTCCAAAATGTAAGAAACTGCGTGTTACTACCATGGAGACATTTTTCTGGAATCTTTTAGAATCATGGGTCTATAAATTTGCCTTGAAATCTTTCTAAACTTTCCACGCTTCAAAGTCTAAAATCCTAAAGAAAAATTACCAATTCTGTAACAGCAAAAATCCAGAAATGTTTTTAGAAAAAATCAGAGGGAAAAAAGTGTGAAATTAATTTTATAGAGAAAACTGATACATATTCTAAGAATTCTGATCATTCTGAGAAATTTGAAAACTTCTTACCATGCTGTGGTGTATGGTGTATTTAATTATGGCAAAGCACACTAGGGCTATCTGCCTAAGGGGAGGGATGCCTTTCGTAGAGGACTTTCTACTGGCTCGTATACACTGGTGACGAAACATGTGAACTGTGAAATGAAATTGCAATCAATGCAGTGGGGGCACACAAGTTCTCCCCAAAAACCCAAGAAATGCATGCAAACAATGTCGGCAAGGAAGATGATGGCGACTGTTTTTTGGGACAGAAAAGGTGTAATTTTGGTGGACTTCCTGGAAAGAGGCACTACAATAAACTCTCAAAGGTATTGCCAAACTCTCCAAAAACTCAGAAGAGCAATTCAAAACAAGCGCAGAGGAATGTTGAGCTCTAAGATCTTGTTGATTCACGACAACGTCTGGCCCCACACGGCAAATGTCACTTGTAAAGTTCTTGAATCTTTTAAGTGGGAGTTGTTTCCTCATCCCCTCGCCGTACAGTCCCGACCTGGCACCGAGCGACTTCCACCTATTTCCCAGCAATGAAGAAGTGGCTGGCTATGCAGCGTTTTGATGACGACGCACAGCTGCAAGAAGAGGTAACGAAGTGGTTGAAGGCGCAGGCGGCCGAATTTTTCGACGAAGGAATTTCCAAGCTCGTACATCGCTACGTAAATGATAAATGCCTTAATTTGTATGGTGACTATGTAGAAAAGTAGTATTTGAGTGTGGCTTTCATCTGTATATAATAAAATTTGTTTCCTATACTTTGTTTATTTTTTTATTCCAAAACGTAATCTACTTTCTGGATAGCCCTCGTATTTTATACCAGCAGATGATTTTGTTTAGGGAATATTATGAAGATTATTTCTGTAAAAAAATATTTGCCTTCAACAATCATTTTGTTTATAATAATTAATCTCATACTTTAAGCAAAATTTTTGACCAGTATTTTTGCTGAAAATATTTAACCAAAGAATCGCCGTCTTTATGAGGGATCTATTTTTAGTCAAGGTCACCATTTATCAGAACATTACATCAGTCAGATGTTTATATTTGAAGGAAGGGAAAACAGGTGTTACGCTGATGCAATGTCAGCAGGAAACTGGTAAATCAATCTCCTTTTTCACTCATTCCTTTCAATGTTCTGGTTCATGTTCTGGCTGCTTTAAAAATGCCTAGAACGAGGTA